CAAAGGAAGTTCTTCAAATAGATGGGGAATATTCTATTGGAAACTTGGTTTATCAGGAAGAAAGGAACAAACAACCAAATGAGTAAAAATATGAGTAAGTACAATAAACTCTTAGTTTTCTAAATTATATTTAATGATTGAAACAAAAATCATAACATTATCCCATGTGGTTTTCAATGCATGTGCAGGAAATATTTAAGATATTATAAATGAGGGAAGGTTAAAGAGACTTAAAAAGAGGTTAAAGTTTCCACACTTCACTGAAACTGGTAAAATGTTAACACCAGTAGACTGTGATATATATGTATAATGTAATACCTCCATCAACCACTAAAAAGGCTACACAAAGAGATACACTCAACAACACTACATGCAAATCAAAATGGAATTCTAAAACAGACTGGCAGAAGAGACTGAGATGGCACAACAACTGTATGTTGCCTATAAGACACTCACTTCAAATATAATGACACAGGTAGGCTGAAAGTAAAAAGATGGAGAAAGATATACCACGTAAACATTAATCGAAAGAAAGCAGAAACTAGCTATCATATTGTCAGAGTCGACTTGTGAAAATTACAGAGATGGAGAACAGATTAGTGGTTGCCAGAGGCTAGGGATAGTTTGGGGTGGAGGGTGGGCTGGACTGCAAAGAAGTAGCATGAGGAAGATCTTTGTGGTGGTAGAATAGTTTTGTATCTTGATCATGGTGGTGGTTATATAAATCTATACATGATAAAATGACATGGAATTACACACACACAAATGAGTGCATTTAAAATTGGTGAAATCTGGGCAGGGCGTGGTGGCTCACGCTTGTAATCCTAGCACTCTGGGAGGCCGAGGCAGGCGGATTGCTCAAGGTCAGGAGTTCAAAACCAGCCTGAGCGAGACCCTGTCTCTACTATAAAAATAGAAAGGAATTAATTGGCCAACTAATATATATATATATAAAAAATGAGCCGGGCATGGTGGTGCATGCCTGTAGTCCCAGCTACTAGGGAGGCTGAGGCAGGAGGATTGCTTGAGCCCAGGAGTTTGAGGTTGCTGTGAGCTAGACTGACGCCACGGCACTCACTCTAGCCTGGGCAACAAAGCAAGACTCTGTCTCAAAAAAAAAAAAAAAAAAAATTGGTGAAATCTGAATAAGGTCTATGGGCTGTACCAGTGTCTATTTTCTGGTTTTGATAATGTACTATAGTCATGTAAGACATTATCACTGGGGAAAAATAGGTGAAAGGTACACAAGACCTTTCTGTATAATTTTTGCAGTTTCCTATGAATCCATACTTATTTTAAAGTAAAAAGACTTGGTATTCAGTTTTCCTTTGTGGCTGTCTTGGTATAACGACAACACAACAGTCCTTCACTGTGACTGTGCTTACAATTAATAAAAACTTCCATCAAGCAAGAACCACCCACGAATACTAAACTATGGGGAAATTTTGGTGAGAAGCAGGGTGTTTGCATTGCCCTAAGGTGCCTTTTCAAAGATAGCTTATTAGTTGCAACAGAGAAAAAAAAGTAATTATACAAGAGAGGAATTGGGCAACACCGTGACTGAGTGAACAAAACCATCACCATCAATGAGGGAGAGGGGATATCCTGTACCTCCAGGTGTGACACTCTAAAAAGGACACATCACTAATGCAGTATTCTGTCTGCAAATGCATAACCTCAATCTAACCTCAAGGAAAATCAGACAAATATGAAATGAGGAATGTTTTTATTAAAAGAAAGGGAGGGAGTAAACCGTATTCTTTAAAAATATCAATATCACAAAAGACAAAGAAAGGTTGTGGAAGTATTCCAGAGGAAAGGTGACTTAATTGGGAATAACAGTAAACAGAGCTAAAGTGTTAAGGAAAAAAAAAGAAAGGTGACTTAAGAGACATGAGAACAAAATGTACTATCTGACCTAGACTAGGGGTTGGTTAACTGTGGCTGGTCAAATTGAGCCCATAGCTTATTTTAAGAATAATCTTTACCAGAGGTGCGGAACCTGTGGCCTTAAAGCCACATGTGGTCTTTTAGGTCCTTAAAAGTGCAGCCTTTTGATTGAACCCAACATTTTACGAAGTAACAGAGGTCTTCATTGGTTTGGTGAGTGTAGTGAGGATTGTGTGTGTGTGGCTGGTTGTAGAGAGTGGTGTGTGTGGTTTGGTTAGATGAACATATTTAAAATACCAAAGAATAAAGTAAGTTTCAATGAAATAATCCTCCCAGATTGACTGGCACAATTACAATTAGTAAACTATAAGGGTTAAATTGACGGTTGCTACACTCATGATCTAGTTCTTTTTTTTTTTTTTTTTTTTTTGAGGCAGAGTCTCACTTTGTTGCCCAGGTTAGAGTGAGTGCCGTGGCATCAGCCTAGCTCACAGCAACCTCAAACTCCTGGGCTCTCCTTCTGCCTCAGCCTTCTGAGTAGATGGGACTACAGGCACGCGCCACCATGCCCAGCTAATCTTTTCTATTTTTAGTTGGCCAATCAATTTCTTTCTATTTTTAGTAGAGACGGGGTCTCACTCTTGCTCAGGGTGGTCTCGAACTCCTGAGCTCAAACGATCCGCCTGCCTCGGCCTCCCAGAGTGCTAGGATTACAGGCGTGAACCACCGTGCCTGGCCTCATGATCTAGTTCTAACGCTAACCCCCTCCACTACCACCCTTCCATCACTGCTCCCTCCCCTCAACTGGCACCACTACCACACCACGGCTGGATGACGAGAATTTATGGGGTCAAGTATACCAATCTGTTATCAGCTTTTGACAACACTGCACTGTGTTTCCATTTGAAGTGGAATTTGTGAATAGTTACACAGCTTGGTAGTATTTTTAATTCTGTCTGCTTAAGAGCCCATCATGTCAAATAAGACCAAGAGAATGATGAAGGAGAAAACAGCTTTTTAATGAGCATTGAGAATTGCAATATTATCTTGTTTCTGCTAAAGATAATGTGATTTGCTTGCTTTGTGATACTGCAATATCAACATTAAAGAAACACAATGCTCATCAGCATACACTCATAAGGACCACAAATATTTTAAATTAGAGGGAGAGGCTTGAAAGGTTATACTGCAGAAATTAAAAGGCCAAAAGCAAAAGCAAAGACAATTCTTTCAAACAGCAATAAGACCTGGAAATAATGCCATTGAAACAACTTATAAAGTAGCTTATATACTCGGGGGAGGGGGGTAGTCATTCAGTGATGTAGAGATTGTGAAAGAATGCATTGACGAAGTTGTAGGATGCTTAGACCTGATAACATTTCAAAGTAGAAACAATTTCCTTTTTGAAGGAGAACCATAACTTATCGGCAACATGAATTAACCTTCAGCTTAACAGAACAACTTCAGGTAATACTTCAAAAGGAAACTATATACTATTCAATCACTTTTGATTAATCAACTGATACTATTGACTCGAGGAAGGTTTTATACTTCATTTGGGTCATAACAGAAGATTTTCTTTGCTATGAAGAGTTATTCACTTTGGGCATTCTTGTGAACAGGACACGGGGAATACATATCTTCAACAACTTTCAAGATATATGTAACATTTCCTCAAATGGCTCAGAAAAGAAAATGTGTGTATTTGTTTGGGGGAGGGGAGAGGGAGATAGAGGAGGAGGAGAGGAAGAGACAGTGAGTGCAAGTGAGAGAAAAAAAAGGAGGTAAATTATATAGCAAGTGGGAGAAAATAGTATTAGTAACAGGTGCATTTGTGAATCTATGTTCTTTGTACCATTTTTATTATTGTGCCCTTTGTAAATCTGAAATAATTTCCAAATTCAAAAGAAAAGAAAAGGAAAGAAGGATGCAAGGAAAGGAATGTAGGCTTTGGAGTTAAATGCAGGAGCTTAGATCTCATTTCTACTGCTTACCAGCTGCATCTTCGATAAGTTACTTAATCCCTTGATGTGTCAGTTTTCTCATCCATAAAGTAGAGATCTCAATAGAACCTATGTTTTATGGTTGTTGTGAGGATTAAAAAATACACTTCACATTGTCTATCTCATATTAAGCACTCACCAAATTAGTAGAGAACTGGAAATTATACAAAATGACATAGCATATTTGAAATAAACAAACCAACCAGAAATTATATAAGTGAAGACATAAAATATACAATTAAGAAACTGATGGTTGCATTTAATAGCACACCAGACACAGCTAAAGCAAGAATTAGTGAACTGGAATATAAATCAAAAAAGAAACTGTCCAAAATGAAGTATGTAGAGACAAAAGAATAAAAAATACAAATGAAAAGGCAAGAGACAGAAAGTACAGTGAGGTCTAACATATGTTTAATTGAAGTTCCAAAGGACAAGAGATAATGGGAAGGAGAAATATTTAAAGAAATAAAGACACAGAAAATTTCTAGAACTGAAAATTAATAAACCACTTTAGCAGCCCACCTCTATCAAGAACTGGATTTTTCCTTTGCTAGCCATTATTTACTTAAGAAAGACATAAGAAAAGTACATATTTATGTACTTATCCTGTCTAATAAAAGCTAAGCTTAAGGGGAAAAAATGGAAATATTCTCATAAACTAAAATCCCAAACAAAATTATCCAGATGCCAAGACTCAAAGTAATCTAAACTTTGATAAATACCTTGATATTTCTTCTGATAGCTAGAAACTCTTTGAGGGTTGTTTACTATTTTAGTTTTTCCTTTTTGTTCCAGGAAAGGACTAGAGGTTATTACAAGGGTGTTTGCTTTTGTTTTTTTAGCACAAACCTTCTAAAAATTACAAACCAGAAAGCACTTCAAGATGTCTAGATGAAAGCTAAAAAAGAAGCATTTTCACACACAAAAAAGAGTTTATGAACACAACAGACAGAATTTAGGGCTTTCTTAATGTGTGTTTTTATAAAGGTAGCAAATAAGCAGGTATTTGACTGTAACAAAGTAAGGGGAAAATAAAGAGAAAAGAGAAGAAAGGAGCAATAAGGATAAGGGGGACAGAAGAATGCAAGTCTGAGGCATTCTTACCTTTTTGTGCGCTATCAGGAGGCAGTTGGAATGTTCATGTTCACATGAAATTTCATAGTCGGGGATCAGCTCCACCAACTCCCGAACAAACCGTACCACTTCCTCATGCCAGGGCACATTGGCCATGGTAAGGCTGCTCGCTGAACTTTCTCCACAGTAGGTGACACCCTGTGGAGACATTGCAACAGTCAGAGATGATTACAGACCTACTTGAAATCACAGAGTGAAACTTCCAGAGCCAGACAAGCTTATTGAGGTCATCTAATCCAGTCCAATCCATATTTTAAAGTGAAGAAAGTGATACAAAGATGATAAAATTTGCTTAGGAGATCATAAAAACAGTGAGTGACAAAGACAGCAGGGGCTTGAGAACCTGTGCTTTGTGCTGTGTCACCATCTATGCCGTCTAGTCACAATAATATATCCAAATCAATAGCATATCTTTCCATTCAGATTATTGTTTACTATGATAGATTAATTCTTGAGGGCTTATAACCTCCTAGTAGAATAATGGGGGCATAGTAGACACCCATAAAAATTCACTAACCAATTAACTGATTCACTGGGAAAATAAAGTGAGCTTCCATATTCTAGTATAATTGAGATTGGCAAACTTTTTCTGTAAAGTGCCAGAAAGAGATCCTTTTGAAACTATTCTTTAAGGAGATACTTACTTTATAATGTACTTTGAATATGAATGTATATTCATGCCTAAAGGGAAATATATCTGTGCCTATATATAACATACCTTTACACATACTTACATAGACATACATACAGCTCACCAATATAGAAATTCCTTTTAAGTACAACTATAGTAAGATAAATTGGCTTTTAACTCTTTCGAACTCTGACAGCCCAGGCATTTAAGACTCAAAAGTTTCCTAAATAAGTTCTTTATTTGGTAAATTACACAGTGATAAATGATTAAATTTCTAACAATAAAGAGTATCTTAACGATGTGGGTTCTTTTAATACCCCATAATCCAACTTTCTTGACAACTGGTTTGAATATCCTAGATATGCTTCTACTAAGTGGGGAATAACTAAAATAAAAAGACACATGCACCACTCACACACATTCTTTCACACACACATGCAAACATGAACATGTATACTCAGACACACACCACACACAGATTAGAGGAGGTAGAATGACACTGAATTAAAAAAAGAAAAACAACCACAAATGGGCACTGCAGAGTGACTCTGACCCTGCTGATGACAGAGGTGGGATCAGCCGAGGACTGACATGAGCTCTGCAAAATGCTCTACTCCAGATGGCCCTTCAAAAAGATTAATGGTATACTAAATGAGATGGCCTTTGTGGAATATAAACTGTAGGCTACCCAGCTTAATTATAATAGACAAGAGAATCTTCTCTTCTCTATTTGCTCAGTGATTCAGAGAATTCATTAAACTGAGTGGAAGCTTTAGGTGAATAAAAAAAGCAAATAATAATTTAGTTCAAAAAATCATTAAGAAGATATGGCCGAAAAACTATGCTAAACTTACCCAAATGCTTAAAAAAACATGAAAATGATTTATTCACAGGCTGAATTAGTCATAAAAATGTCCTTTACTTCACTTTAAATACTGTTTATGATGTGTGAATTATACAAACAACCATGTATGTAGTAGCTAGTTCAAAGGAATGTCTTTTTAATATTTTGAAAGTTAGTTCACTGGGCCGGGTGTGGTGGCTCACACCTGTAATCCTAGCACTCTGGTAGGCTGAGGCGGGTGGATTGCTCAAGGTCAGGAGTTCAAAACCAGCCTGAGCGAGACCCTGTCTCTACTATAAAAATAGAAAGGAATTAATTGGCCAACTAATATATATATATAAAAAATGAGCCGGGCATGGTGGTGCATGCCTGTAGTCCCAGCTACTAGGGAGGCTGAGGCAGGAGGATTGCTTGAGCCCAGGAGTTTGAGGTTGCTGTGAGCTAGGCTGACGCCATGGCACTCATTCTAGCCTGGGTAACAAAGTGAGACTCTGCCTCAAAAAAAAAAAAGTTAGTTCACTGAAACACAGAGGTTTTAGATAAGATCTTATATTCATGACAATAACTTTTGAAAATATTTTAATATTTTTTATTCAGCAATAATAAATCATGAAACATTAAGGGGAGATTTGGTTTGGGAATAGAATGACAGAATGAATGCCACAGTTCATTATTAGGATTTCACAATTCCTTACAATTGTATGATGCTTTGGTTTCCAAGGCACTTTCACATAAAAGTTCTCATTTTAGCAAGATGAAACCATCAGAGGGAAGCAGTACTGGGTAACATCCTGAGGCAACCACAAAGCCTGGGTCTTCACTGTGACAGAAACGCCCTCGGCAGAAGGTGGTCTCAGTGAAGAGACTGCAGGTCGCCTTTGGGAACCCGAGCCCTCACTGCCCAGTGTTCTCTGCTTCGACTACCTCATCCTACACTCCAGTTTTCTGCAGAGTTGCCCTGACTCTACTCCTGAGCATGGCTGATCCTCAGTTTTTCCCTCACATCACAGCTGTCTGCCACCTTCTCATCCTCTTCACCCTCACCCCCTACCCCACTCATCGCTAGCAGCAAGTTCTTTCCCTACCATTCAGGAAAACAGACAGGTATGATGTGGCAATCATAAAGCAAAGTCATTCACTCCAGAATCTGCAGGCTGAGTAGTGACAAGCAGACCCAAAGAAAGTTCCTGAAGGACAGGACTATTTATGCATCTCTGGGTTTGTAGTGAAAAGCATAACTCACGTCATTACAACCTGGTAGCTTCCTGATGCATCACGCTCCCTAGGAGATGGGGACAGAGGGCTTTTTCATTGGCTGCTTGGAATATCTGCCTTGGGATTCACAGTCTGTGGGAAGAGCAGTATGTTGGCAGTTTGACTATGTGATATTCCAATTAGACCAATTGGGTTTTTGTTCCCTATAGTTTGATGAGAAAAGAAATGTTGACTTCCTGATTTTTTTTTCAGCAACATACCCAAAACATGTCACTTCTTCATTCTAAAAAAATGCTTAATAGCTCTCCCACCAAACAGCCAAAGCTTCTCAGCATGGCACATGAGGCCTTCTTCACCTGGCTCTGAAGCCTGTCCTAGCGATGGACCAGTAATGAGCCCTTGTCTTTGCCCAAGCACAGGTGGCTCTAGAGGAGGACCACCCGCTCAGCATCTAGTCCCTACCCAGCTAAAATGCCCCATCATTTCTTTACCCTCCAGTCAGGAACCCCCACCTCGTCAATGTGTCTGAATTCTGAGTCTTAGAGACAGGGGCTGCACCTTGTTCTCTGTATTCCCAACCAGTCTGTGCTGAATGAAGAAAGATCAAGTCTTATTATTCTTTTGTGACATTAAGCTCCAGAACTCTTTTCTGATCTAATACAAAATTTCAGTCATATTATTCAGGATTTTTCTACTCTTTAATAATTATGAAACAATTCATAAACATCAATTAGGTACTTCTATGTACATGAACTACTGGCAATATTCTTACCTTTGTGTGCAGAAAGGGAAGTGAGGCTATGCTAAGACAATCATTTTGCAAGGTGCCTTCTGCAGGGATTGAGCACAGTAGACAGTTTACAGTGCTAACAGTAAGTGGCTTTAAATCATTTGATAATAAATTACTGAGCACTTGCTAGTCTCAAGGTGTAATGCTAAGCAGAGAATACAAAGGCAGTATTTCATTGACAAATGGAATGTGTTATAAAAGTTTTCAATAAGGCAGATGTTTGTAATATGAAATACATTTTCACAAACAAGCAAGCAAATAATGGCAGTTAAGATTCTCAGACTGGCAAATAAAAGCCTATTTAATCCTAATGAAGATAAAATATATGCTAATTTACAGGGACTATAACAGAAAAATACCTTACAAGACTGGCAATGAAAGAAATCAATATAATAAAAAAAAATGGTCTCATTGATTTACTTTAAATGAATGTGCTTAATGGAAAATAATCTAAACATTTACTGAATCCAGGAGTACATTATCCCATTGAATTCTCAAAACAGACATATTAAATAGATATTATTCTAATTTTAATATTCAGGGAGTTTAGGCTCAAGGAGGGTAAGTTACCAGTCCCAGGCAACATGTGCACATTTTAGGTAAGTATCAAAACTGTGCTCTTCCCCCTTCCCCACAAGACTCCAGTGTGTGCAGACTGTGGAGACCCCAGGCCCCATGTACACACACACGCCCAGGACAGGAGATGCTGAGGATACCGACTGGCCACAACACCACTCCCACACTGACAGCCTCCCTTCCAGACCCAAGGGTATTACTGCTACAACTTATATAGTCAAAGTGAGGGTGATTTTTTTTCCTTTGTCTCACAAACATCAAAAGAGAAACTGTGTAGAGAACACATAGAAAAAGGAAGACAGAGTTTCCTAAGTCTGATTAGGTTAGTGCTAGAAAAATAAGTTGAATAGGGAGCATACATTTATGCTCCCTATTTCTAAATTTACTCAAAGTGGATTGAGTAATTTGTAGACAGTTCAGTACAATATTCTAAACACAAAAAAACATGCGTTTCTATTTTAAAGTCCTAGAAATTAACAATAAAAAGACAAGCAATTCAATTGAAATACAAAGAATATGAATAGAGCACTGTGTTTGCTTCTGCAGGGAGCTCCAGCCACATAACCAACAAGGGCCAATTTGCATTATCAATTTCATATCTTGAGGACATTTATACGACCCTGAGGTACTAATAAATTTGAACTCCAAGCCCCACTGAGAGTTAGGCCATGGGGAGACTTTTCCTTTTTACCAGAAGCATAGGTGAGGAACCAACCTTCCAAGTGTTACTGTGTCAGTGGGTATATTTTTTCCTCATCCATCCTATCATTGAAGGGGAAGGGCCTAGTCTTTTGTCCTTTAAACCCAAGCCCTGTCTACTGTAACCATGAAATATTACTACGATGGTCTCTTTCTTCTACACACTAAAGGTCCATCTTACAGACTTGACAGATTAGCTATGTTGTTAAAAGTATTGTTTTTCATAACATATTTACTTCTAACTACTTATTTTTGGAGGGATTTGAGGTTATCTTAGTCTGCCATATTGCTAGTTCTTATCAAATGTTTTTTGGAAAGAGTTTATTATTATTTTCAAAACTCCTCTGTTTTAGAAAATTTTAACTTTAATTAATAAAACAACAAAAAGATGCCTTTTCAAACATTAAGTGGTTTGATCCTATTGAACAGGAAAGCATGCCTTCTCCATTTATTGATTTCATTTCAGTCTTTTGAATTATAAAAGTAATGCATACTCGTTATAATAATTCACACAATATAGAATTATGAAAAGTAAAATGAATAAGCCTTTTCTTCCCTTTCTCCCAAAGAGAAAATGGTTAACAATTTTATATATATCCTTCTATACCTTTGTGTAAATACATATAAACATATGCAGTTGAAAATGTAATCAAATAATAAATATTATTCTAACATTTGTTTTGCCACTTAGTAGTATACTATATTCTATAAATATCCCTTTTGCTACTTCAACTTAAAAGGAAGACACTTCATTAACCTGCTAAACACATGAGAGGTAAAGTTAATAAAACATGTGATCTAAACCTGCAGTGGACCAGGTACCTGACATTGTAGGCAGGAGATTTCTCCTGCAGGTCTTCTACAACAGACAAGACATGACTATGCTTTCCCCTGATATAATACAAACTATCTATTACATTATATTTCATCATTCAAAAATTATTATAATTGTAATTAGATTATACATTAATCTAAGAATTTTTAATTATACAATTTCTCAAAGTAGCTCATTTTACTTTTATAGATTTTGCCTATTCAACAAAACATTCACTTCCCAAATAGCACATTCATATCAAATTTTTTATCTCCAGTGCTTTAATGAGGACTGGCACATGGAGAGAGCTCAAAAATATTGTGGAATGCAGGGATAAAACAGTAAAGTAGAAACTTTGTTGTTATAACATCTCAGCTATAGACAGAAGGCTTTATTTGTTTCCTAGTGATGTTAATAGTTTGCCAAACTAAAAAAGATCCATCAAGAATTACACTGTTTACCAAGTAGCCATCTTCCTTCAAAAAATAATACTGACTATTTTTTTTTACAGAAAGTACCTTGTTCTTTATAGAAAACATGACTGCAAGAAGAAGGAAGGGAAGAAGGAAGGAAATGAAAAGGTATGATTCAGCCAAGTTGCTTTACAATAATAGAGTTTTTACTGCAACATAATCTGAGGCAGCTTTCTTTAATAGCTAAATCATAAATTAAAATGCCACTAATCTCTGATGTTGGCAAGGTTTTCTTAAGCTGACACATATATTTTTCAGATGTTGTTTGTATCTCTGCATCGTTAGAGTTCTTGCCAAGAGCAGCCTTTTGAAATTAAGAGCAATTTCAAAAGAAAAGAGTATCTTTGACCTGACCAGAGACAGTATTTCTTCTGTTCCCATCTCCCCACCCCTCTGGAGTACAGTAATACAGAAAGCTGAACTCATTATAAGGCAGCTGTGAAACTCTGAAATCTCTGACATGACATAGAGAGCATTCAGTTTCAAAAACATAAATTGAAAAGAGTACAGTTGACTCTCCAAGCCTGGGTACATTTTCCCGTTACTTTCTCTCATTTTGTGGACTTGTACTTGCCCAAAAAAGTCATTTGCCTCTTAACACTCTATAGCTTTACCTATCTTATGCCAAGACTTCCAAAGCATTATTTCCAGCCCTGTCTTATCCCCAAAACTTCAGGTTCGTATAACCTATGGCCTATTTGAACCCATACTTGGATATTTAAAAGATACCTCAAATTTAATATGGCCAACAGGGAACTCAAAATTTCACTCCAAACTTGCCCTCCACCACCACTTGTTTTCTCAGTAAACTATTTTACCCTCCACACAACTGCTTAAGCCAAAGCCCCCACACATTAATCTAGCAACAGCCTTTATTGGTTCTACTTCCAAAACGTATCCTAAAAGCACTCACCACTCTCCAGCTATGTTACCACTGACCGTCCTGAAACCATCATATCACATGCTTGGATTAAGCAATGACTTTGTAAGTGGTCTACCTATTTCTACTACTGCCCTCTATATCTATACTCAAGTCACAACAGAGCAACAGGGTGATCTTTTAAAATCATAAATCAGATCACTTCCTCCCCAGCTTAAAACTAGGTGCACCTAGTATATAAAAAGCTTACCATTAAACTTAGTTTAAATTCCCTTATCTTTGCTCGAAAGGCCTAATAAAACCTGCCCCTAGCCCACCTGTCTGATTCATCTTGTACCACCGCCAACCTCAGCTACTGCCCTACGATCACTTTTGTGATCTTTGTGCACTACCTGTGCCATGCCCAGAATGCTTCTACCTCTGCCTCTGAATGCTGGGTTGCTTCTTATTATTTAGCTATTAATTAAAAAATTAAAATTCATCTGCTCAGAATAGCCTTCCTAAAACAGTCAACCACAATATCTAGCAAAACAATCTATGCATTTACCCTTTGGCCCAGCAATCCACTTAAAGGAATCCATCCCAAAGCGACACTGGCAGAAATGTGCAAGAGACAAGCAGACGTTACATGCCTCCTGATGGAGGTAAGCGACTCCATCAATGAAACATTCTAGAATACAAATGAACACACCCACGCACACACATAGTCCTGAATCTAATCAATCTTCTTTTGATATAACTACAGGCCTCAATCCCCAAGAAATATAAAGGAAAAGGAACATCAATAAAATCTAAAATACAAATAAATTTTTCTATTTATATAAAATCAGCTAGAATAAATTATTCATCTTCCATGACAAAATAAATTACAAGGGGAAAACATGGAAGAGGACAGATTAAAAGAAATTTAAGAAAGAAATGATTCAATTATAATGTATAGACCTTATGTGGATCCTGACTTTAAAATACTGTTTAAATAAAAAGAAATAATCAGTAAAATTTGAAACATCTATGTTCCAATTGAAATTTTTTAGCTAAAATTTTTAGGTGTGAGCTTGGTACTCTGAATAAGTGTTGAAAAAAAGTACTTACCGTTTAGAGATATGCAGAAACAGTTACGGGTAAAAGATATAACTTGGGGGGGTTGCTTGTAAATAATCTGGGTTAAGAGCTGAGAAAATGAACAGGGTATGGTTGAAACAAGACTGGTCCCGAGTTAGACCAGTCTCTCTGCTTTTGTCTATATTTGAAATTTTCCATAATAAAGGTTTATTTAAAAGCCAACCAGTTAATCACTACAACACTATTTCATTTCTCAAAACATTAATGTCACTACATAGTTTTTAATTACTCGTTCTGTATTGATTGTCTACTGCCCACTAAAATATTAGCTCTACAAGATCAAGAGCTTAGTTTTCTTTACTGCTATTACCCTCGTGCCTAGACAGTGTCTTGATGAATGTTGCTAGACGAAAAATTAAATAAAACTCCTGGGACCTCCTTTAGAGTTTAAAAGATTTTGATTCTACCACGGCCAACAAAGCCGGCAGGGCTTACCTTCACCTCAATGAAGTCAGGATTTCCCAGGGACACGAGCTGAGCGTAGGCCTGGAGCTCATCTACATTCCACGCTTTCACGAGCGTCAGTCTGTAGACAGTACGTTGTTGCTAAAACAAACAAAAAGCCAACTTTGTTGTTATCTTGGTGGAAGGCACATTAACCTAGGAGACTGTCAAATTTTTCACCACATGGAGAACCCGGGTCCTGTGACACCCAGCATAAATTTTTGTAAACTGAAGCTGTATTTTGGGGAAAGATGAAAAAAATCTAAACAATGCAATAAGATTCTCATGTGCCTTGTGGAGGGCACCTGAGATAGTTTGACGGATTTCTTTTCTCTCCCTCATAGTATCTAAAGGTTTCTTGACACAGACACATTGAATGAGATTTAGTAAGGAATGGTAAATTGATTGAATAGTTTAAGGCTATGGAAAATTAATTCAAATAATCTTTAGGCTTTCAAGTAATAATCACTCAAATTGTTAATGACAAGAATTGTTAATTACCTTTGTCCTCTTTTCAGCTTTCTCATTATTTAATGATCTCTTGGCATTTCTTGTGGGCAGAAAAGGCACAGGTATGGACTGTCAATGTTGCTAATTGTTTACCATATAACCAGAAAAGCTACTGGCTTTTTGAAAAGCAATTAAGCAGTAAGGCATTAAAGCCTTTAAAAAGCTTATAGGGTTTGACTTTGTAGTTCCATTCTAGGACCAATATAGGTGATTAAAAATTCAAAGACATTATAACATCTCAGAGCAACATTACTAATGATACCTTAAAATCTGAGGTAAGGCCTTCCTGTTGAGTAGGGGCAGGACCTGTGACTTGCCTTTAAGTAACAGAATATGGCAAAGGTGATGGGCTGTATGTGGTTATGTACACATAATCACATGCATCTGTAGCAAGTGCCCAGGTAATAATATGTATACTTCTAAACCTCAAGCCAGATTTTAAGTAGCAAGGAACAAAATACTCAAGAGAAAAACAGTAAAGTGAGAGATGTATAAAATGAAATCCATCTCTTTTTCCTATGTGTGAAAACTTCCATCACTAATAAAAAAGAAGAAACATTTCAGATCTTTAATGAAGAAAACTAAGAGATCTTTAACGAAGAGTGTTAGACCACCATACCAGAAATTGGTATTTTCCAAGCATATTTACTCATATATACTCAAAAGTTCCTTTTAAAAAAGCAGTACATAATGTAATACAGAAATCTTCCAGATTCCCTTGACATAGTTAGAATTCTTCCAGTGCCAAACCCTAACAAAAATAGTAGAAAACTGCAGATCAATCTCACTTGTGTATATATATGCAAAAATCTTAAAGAAATTTTAGCAAATAAAATTCAGCACTAAAATTCAGTAGCTAAAAATTTTAGGAATGCAAAGATGATTCAATTATTACTACATAGTAATAGAATTCACCATACTAATAGTTTAACACAGAAAAATCATGCAATCATATTCATAGATACCCAAAAGCATTTGATATAGTTTAAAACCCATCCTCCATTTTAAAATAAAATAAGCAAATCAAAAACCAAATTCAAAATGACAAATTCAAAAATTAAAAATACATCTTTAATGTAAATGTAAAAAAAAAAAAAGCACCACTCTCCAATTAAGAGTAAATGTCATTCTTAGTTTTAAAAAAATAGAGGCCTTCCCATTTAGTCACACTAAAAGAACATCCACTCTTTTTAAACCACCTTCCTGCAAATTACAATCAAAGCAATAAGGCCAGGACAAGAATTAGTGGAGAATATACAAAAAATAATTAATTGTAAAGAACATAACTAGCTTCTTGGAAACCTAAGAGAATCAGCTAAAAAATTAGATCAGGGAAAAGTGGCCAGCTACCGAATAAAAATATACAAATCAACAGTTTTTCTAGCATAGAGTAGTGAGTTAAATGTGGACTCTAGGGCCAGATTGAATCCCACACCATGTAGTAGGAATCTTTACCTCTCTGTTTTCACTTCCTACTTACATAAAATGGGGGTTGTACATAGGATGAAAAGTGTTAATCCATGTAGCACTTAGAACTAAGCCTAGTAGTAGCATGTCATACCCTGTGTCAGCTATTATATGCCAGCAATGACCAATTACAAAATTCAAGGCAAAGAATATTCTACTTACAATGATAAAATATAACTATAAAATATCTAGTATGTAATTCATGAAATAACATGTAGGACAGTTGCATACACTTTTATAAGAGACCTAAATAAAAACTCATCTATATGGATAGCCATAATGGATTTATAAAAACAAAATAATTCCAATGGGAGTTTACAATGCCTCTGAACAAGTAAATTGGCAATGATACCAATAATAAAAACAATAGCTGGAGTTAGCAATTAGTCAGCATTTACTATGTGCCAGCTGTTGTTATAAAGTGCTTTGTATCTTGGCAAAGATTCCAATATTACTCTAATCTTCACACCAAAACTTACAAAATAGATTGGATTATTATCTTCACTTTAGAGATATGAAGTTGAGGCCCATGGCTGTTAAGTAAATTGCCCAAAGTTACACAGCTGGAAAGCAGGAAAGCTGGGATGTGAACCCAAGCAGCAGGAATCCAAAGCAGGTTCTGTCACTTCACTAAGCCTTTTAAAATTGTGAGATAAAAACACACAAAGAGAAATGTACACAAAACTTAAATGTATAGCTCAAGGGATCACCATAAAATGCCCATCGCCCATATGCCCTCCTGTTCCTCTCAATCACTATCTACTCTCTTCACCCTAAGGGTATCTAATGTCCTGACTTTAACATTATAGTTTAGTTTTTGCCTGTGTTTGAAACTTATGTAAGTGGAATCATATATTCTTTTGTCTGGCTTTTATCACTTAACACTGTGTTTATAAAATTCATCCATGTTGCCTGCATGTTGAGGTTTGTTCCTTTTCTTTGTTATCTTTGTTTGTTCTGTTTCTTTGTTGTATTTCATTGCATGGATATATAACAAGTTATTCAGCCATTCCCTGTTGGCAGGCATTTGGATTATTTCCAGATTTTAGCTAGTATAAAACAATGCTGTTATCGCTTATAAAACCAGATTTTAGTTTGTCTATTTAAGGAAATTATATAAAATGCTATTGTGACATATGTTGTTTTTTTATCTGGCTTCTTTCAGTGAATTTGATATTTGTGAGATTCATTCATGCCGTTCTATGTAGCTGTATGAGCTCCAGTGGTGCAATTGGTTAGCGCATGGTACTTATACGTAGCTACAGATACAGCTTTATGAACATTTTGCATTGTATAAATATACTGCTACTGAGGGATGTTTGGGGTTCTACACACACACACACTTTGGGTCTCTTTAAAAATAACATTGCTGGTTGGGTGCAGTGGCTAACATCTATAATCCAAACACTTCTTGAGGCCAAGGCAGGAGGATCACTTGATGCCAGGAGTTCAAGACCAGGCTGGAAAACATAGTGAGGCCCCCATCTTTACAAAAAATTAAGAAATTAGCTGGGTGTGATGGTAAGTGCCTGTACTCACAGCTACTTAGAAGGCTAAGGTGGGAGGATCACTGGAGCCCAAGAATTCTAGTAACAGAGTTATTTCTCATCTTTAACAACACTTGGTGTTGCTAGTGTTATCTCTGCTGGATAGAAGAGCTCTGTTATAAATGTATTAGAAATATTTGTATCCACTTTATGGCTTTCTTTTTCATAATGTCTTCTGAACAACAAACATTCCTAATTTTAGTACATTCCACTTTATCATTCTTTTGTTTATTAGTGCTTCTGGTGTCTTTTTAAAGAATCTATCCATACATCAAGAGTATGAAGATAACCTCTTATATTCTTTTCCAGAAGCTTTATTGTTTTGTCATTCATCTTTGTGCCTAAAATCTACCAAAGGTGGTTTTTGTGTATGGTGTTAGGAGGTTAAATTTATTTTCCATATGGATATTCCATTGCAATAAATAGGATAAAATCAGTGTCTATGCATGTGAGGATCTATTTCTGGTTTTTGTTTTCCTATTCTGTTTCATCGATCAAATTGTTTCTCCTTACCCTAATACCACACAGTTTTAACTACTATTGCTTTATAATAAGAACTGATGTCTAGTAGACATAGTGGTTCTCAACCCGGTCAATTTTGTACCACAGCAGGGGACATTTGGCAACATCTTGAAAAAATGTTTTGATTTTCACAAATGGGCCAGGTGCTACTGACATCTAGTGGGTACAAGCCAGGGCTGCTGCTGAATATTGTACAATACACAGGACAGTCTCCCTCAACTTTTCCCTACAAAGAATTGTTGTCCAGCCTAAAATGTCAATACTGCTAAAAATCCTATAGTAGAGCAAGCCCTTTTATAATGTCCTTCTGCAAGAGTTTCTTGGCTATTCTTAGTCCTTTGTACATACATATACATTAAAATCGGCTTATGGACTTCAACAAACATACAATCCTTTGTGATTTTTATTGATCTGACATTGAATCTATAACAGGGTATTGTCCAATAAAAATATAATGTGAGTCACAAATGAGAGCCACACATGTAATTTAAAATTTTCTAATTGTCACATTGAAAAAGTAAAAAGTTAACAGATGAAATGAATTTTTAAAATATATTTTAATTATACATATATATCCAAACTATTATCACCCAAAGAATTAATCAGTATTTAAAAATTACTGTCGCTGGGCGCGGTGGCTCACGCCTGTAATCCTAGCACTCTGGGAGGCCGAGGCAGGCGGATTGCTTGAGGTCAGGAGTTTGAAACCAGCCTAAGCAAGAGCAAGACCCCGTTTCTACTATAAAATTAGAAAGAAATTAATTGGCCAACTAATCTATATATAGAGAAAAAATTAGCCAGGCATGGTGGTGCATGCCTGTAGTCCCAGCTACTCGGGAGGCTGAGGCAGAAGGATTGCTTGAGCCCAGGAGTTTGAGGTTGCTATGAGCTAGGCTGATGCCACGGCACTCACTCTAGCCTGGGCAACAAAGCGAGACTCTGTCTCAAAAAAAAAAAAAAATTACTGGGCCATTCTTTTTCCTGTACTAAATCTTTGAATTCCAGTGTACATTTCATACTTTTAACATGGCTCAATTCAGAGTTGCCACATTTCAA